AGAGAGAGAGAGAGAGAGAGAGAGAGAGAGAGAGAGAGAGAGAGAGAGAGAAAGATAATAATCCTCAAATTTTCCTTGCTGTGGAGAAATTAGGAAGGCCAGCACTACTAGGCCAGCATTTAAAAAAAATCAGTTTCTTACATTCCAGCCTCTCTACTATCTTGGATAAATAAAGGTCATAGTCGTGTTCATATCTGTGTCCTTTGGTTTTATCTGTTTCTTGTTTTCTATAGTTTCAGTTTTTGGTGTTTCCTATATGTCACCAGTTCATTTCTGAACAGCAGGTATGTGAATATTTATTTGTTTGTTTTGTTTGTTTGTTTGTTTATATTTTTTCCTCCACACTTTGACCACAAACTATTTTCTTTCCTCCTTTGATCAAACAAACCATTTTTGAACATTCAGACATTTACACAGATTCTTATACAGAAACAGCTCCTGTCTATTATCTAAGACTTTTCATGATTTCATGTTTCATCCTGTTTCAAATTTTATTCCATTTGTTACTTTGTTTGAGAAGTTTCTTTCTACATTTTGTTTTTACGTTGTTTTTCCTGAAGGTTCTAAACACAAAACCTTGTTATATTATCAGAATAAAATTACTTTATAAATAATGTCGCAAAACGGTCTTGTTATTTTATTTTATTTCGATTATTTTATGGCTTCTTACGGAAGAGGATTAGGGCCACTGAAAAATAAAAAAAGGAATTCTGACTTTAATCTCAGAATTCTGAGATTAAAGTCAGAATTCCTTTTTTTATTTGTCAGTGGCTCTAATCCTCTTCCGTAGCATCTTGTGTGGAAAGTGGAAACAAAACATTCCTGCAGCTCAGCTGCAGCTGTAACCTTACTGGTTCAAGGCTACATGGTTGCTGTGTCTCAACTTTTATTTTGAAATATAAGAGCAGGAAATGAGGCAATGTGTATTGTTTTTCTCAGATTCCTAAAAAAATTAATGAAGCAGTATAAAACGTATTGTCATTTCAAATATTTACTTTGTTGACAAAAATTAGCTTGTCTGACTGAATCATTTTCACTCCTAAGAATTAATAAATACATTTTTAAAAATCAAGACTTTTCCATATCGTAGTACTTGTAAAATTTTCAGGCGTATACAACTTTGTTCTCTAGTTTTTCTATGTTGTAGAAAAATTACTCCACTTTGGCACTAGATGTCAGTATAACAAAAGATGATGTATTATTTATTACACAGTGTTACAAAAGGCCTGAATCCAGAGCCAGTTTCACACAGAAACTGGGTTTATAAGGTATAATATAACTGAACACATATTATCAGTTGAATATAAAGTTAAGCATGGAAAAAATAAACTAGAACAAAAGATGTTCTGATGTTCTCTTCTTATTTTTGTCAGATGGGCAGAAATCATGAGATGACTCTGAAACAACATATGAGACATAAATAATCCACTATGTGTTGAAGTTTTTTGTGTTGTTTTGTCAGAGGTTATTACACACAGTCAATCTCTTCAGCAAACAGAAACTAGCAGAGTGTAATGTGACAACTCGTGCTCTGATGTAATGTTTCCTAAAGAAGCCCTCCCCCAACGATAGACATGAACAGTCTTTTAGTTTGACAACGTACTGTAGTGTTGCACATCCTCCAGTTTAAGATGGAAAAACTTACCTCACAGATCAACACTTCAAAACATGATTTAATGTTTTGAACCCTTGATGATTTTCTGCATTTTTTATCTCCCACTGCCAAAGACGAAAAGTCAATTATGTTTTTGTCTGTTTCTTTATGTTGGTGGTTATGATGGTTATGGTACGGTGCGTTATGGTACGTTAGGGTACGGTGTGGTACAGTATGGTATGGTGAATGGGGATGGGTGAAGAAATCATATGGGCAGGGCAGGGGTCTCATAAGTGGGCCCATTACTGTCCCTAAAAAGATGCTGAGCTTTGTTCAAACCTTCACGTTCCTTGGATGAAGGACACAAGGTTAGAAACACTGTTCTGAGTTTTATGTGATCCATTAAGGGGTCCCCAAGAATTATTTTTCTTTGACCACTCACAGCCAGACAGTGGCCTAAATAGAGGTCTCCAATGCCACAGGCATCACACAGACCATTGACATGGAGTCTCCTCACCATTTTGTGGCGGTTGAGCAGATTGTGCCCAGTTAGGACTCCAACCAGTGTATTTAGTTTTCCTTGTCAGGGCGATGAGAACTTTCCCAAACCTAAGTATTGGACCATTCATCAGTTCCTGTGCCTGTCCACAATCCATCAGCTCTCTCCAGTGAATTGAGTGTTGACGTCTAATCCAGAACTGCAGGGCATTCCTATAGACTGTCATTGAGATACCTACAGCAGGCTCTGGTCCTTTAAAGTGGACTTGACTGCCAGCTCTTGCAAGGTAGTCAGCTCTCTCAGTACCATAAAAGCCAGTATGTCCTGGTATCCATTTAACAGTAACACTGTTAACTCTCCCCAGTTGGTTGACTGCTTTACTCCCAAGCCAGTAAAGATGTAAAGTGTGGTCCTCGGAGAGCTCTAATAGCAGCTTGACTGTCTGTTGGGATGAATATTTCCTTCTGTGTACACTGAAGGTCTTTGAGAGATGCTGCACACAGGTGGATTGTATCTCAGCTTGAGATACCTTTACCACCTAGTGGGTATTTGTACTTTCTTACTTTGGTTATACAAAATCAGCACCCTTGCACCTACTGACCCCTATAGAAGTAATCCATCTGTAAAACAGTAGAAACAGTTTGGAGACAGGTCCACCATAGAGAAATTATTCCAGGCTGACCTATCTTCAGTCTATGTCTTAAAATTTGGCTCAAAATTGTATTTTTTGACCATTCTTTCTCCAGATCCTGGAACAGCAGCAACTGCCCAGTCCCAGATTCTAGTGTGCTGTGAGTCAGACTGGTGTAACCTCACTGCACTGGATGCGGCCTCCCTTAAGATATACAAACCTTTCGTTGCACATGGGTGAGCATCACTCTTGCCACCCCAGCTCGTTAGAGTCTTTGTTTTCCTTAAACTTTCTAAAGTTAGAACTTTAGAAAGTTTAAGGATGTTGCTTCACACAATTAAAAATATTTTTGACAAACACAGTGGTGCAAGATACGCAGTATTATGGTTTGAGCCTGTTTGCTGCAGTGTGATAAAAACTAACCATTAATGCCAGCAAGACAAGTTTTTGACAACCACTTTCAATCCATGTTATTTGAAACATTTTTACTCCCTATTTTGTGTTAAACAAATATAACAGGAACCATTAAACACTGTTCTTATGCAAGAATACATGAATATAAATATAGATTATCTCTACAACAGAGTAACAATGAAACAGTTGTCTAAAACACAACACACATTTAAAAAAACACTCACTTGGACACACAAACAAACCGCAGAATAGTTTGAACTTTGCACTCTTTCACAAATTCAAATGGAAGTGTAAATGTTGACAAAGAGTTCGGTCCAAAGTTACGTCTCTTTAGTGTTCAAAGGCCAGCTCGTGCACCAAATTCTTCCCTCGTATTTTCATAAAAATGACACCAAAAGTCATTT